TAGACGCGTTTCGAGCTCCAGAGTCCGAATGCAACCGATCGTGCAGGTGACAATTGTGGGGGTGTCGTCTGCTAGGCTGCACCGCCTGCTGCAACACAATGCAGCCGCGGCCTTCCTACCTGGCGGCGCTCTCGGCGCTGCCAACGCACCTTCTTCGTTGGCCACCCTGGCGTGGCCGGCGCGGCGCTTATCACGGCTCGAACTGAGCGTGTGACTCCACCGATGGATTGCTCTCCGAACGAGCAATCCATGGGTGGGGTCACACACTCGGTTCGAGGCCAAGCGACTCTGGAGCTCAAAACGCGTCTAGAGTTTTGGCCGCCTCCACCGGCCTTCTGGCCCACTGTGCGGCTGCGGGGGTCGGGTTGGGGCGCGCGGCGTACAGTTTAGCCTCGACACCCAGTTATCTACTCATGAAGTGCGTCCCTCGCGTTGCGCAGTGCCGCCTCTCGTCACCAGACGCTCCAAGCACGCATCGCCAGCTGCCCCCCGCGCCCCTTCCTCTGCCAAGACGTCACGTCCTTGAGTGCGGCCCCCGCGAACCCCCGCCCCACTCGAGAAGTGGCCCAGCACTGAAATTTGGTGGAAATGTACATTCGACTGTGGGGAACACGATGCCGTCGAGTCCCACTCAATTTGCAAAAAACCGATCAAAATGTTCAATTGCCTTTATTTCCCGCTACGATCGGAGTTTTTATCGGAGCGCCAAGGTGTGTCAAAATGTTCAGAAAAGAATTTGGAACAAAATAGAAACTGCACATTTTTCGAAAACCGCGTTCCGTTGCCCCAAAACGGGTGTTAAACGCAGATTTTTGGTCCGGGTCTTTGTTCACTTTTCAACCAACTCGCCCGCGCGTCTAAAATACGCGCCAAGGCGCAAAATCGGTTCGTGTGAACGATGTGCGCCGAGCCTCTCCCTTCATGCTGCCGCTTCCCCCTCCGTGCGACCACCCTTGACTGGAATGGACATGTCAAATCTTCCTAGACTGAACCCCTGCAGAATCCCGCCGCTCCGCGCCGCTCCGCTCCGCGCCGCGTGACTCCGACAACTTTTCTTGGCACCACGGTGGGGTCACTCGTGTAAATTTTGTCAGAAGGTCAGAAACATGTCTGAAATCCTGATTAAAATTCGCGCACCTCTGAAAGCTGAAATTCTGAAAACTGATGCTGATGTTCATGGCCAGAGTTCTGCAGAATGTCAGAATATGTTTTCAGCTTTCAGAGGTGCGCGAATTTTGATCAGGTTTTCAGACACGTTTCTAAAATTCTGACAAGTTTTACACGAGTGGTGGGCCCGCACAGTCTCGGCAGGAATGAACCGAGGGGCAGGGTCTTCCGCTGCCCCGGGAGGAAGGCGGGTCCAACTACCTCCTGCTGCCCCAGAGGAGGCGTGGCGCAGACCCCCTGCCGTTCAATCCCAGTCCAAATATAACATTTTTGAAGGATTCAAAATTTGACTTTTTGAATACTATATTCGGAATCCTTGCAATCTAGCGGTTAAGATGATACTTTAAAAATCTAAATTTCGCTAATTACCGTACAAAAAATAATAAAAATTTCGAGACGTTGACTTTTCCTGGAGCATCTACTTTAACATTCACTGATGAAGAGGAAGTGATTCCATAAAAGAAGAAATGAAAAGCATCCAAGACCCCCCCCCTTTCCCCCGCCCCTCTCTTTCCTTGACCCGTTCCGGTTATTGAAAAGCGAAGGTCCTGGTCCTTGGCCCTTTACAGACGCGATGTGGCGCTCGTGTGTGTAACGAATCGGTTCGAGGAAAGCCTTTCATCGTCGCGGACGTTGCCCGCGCATGTGCGGCGTGCGCGGCCTTGGTTTTAGGTTGTAGAATAATTATGCAGCTCTGTCGAAGGCAAGGGGGTTTGCGGGGGCGAGGGCACATTTTCATTGTCTTTTGCATCACGTGACACAAGAGTGGTAGAAAATGTAGCTCTTTTGGCCCCGAAAGAGCACTCGACCAGCCCTTGCGCTCCCCCGCACGGATATCCACGCCCGCGTTCCGGCCTGCCCGTGCCCAGTGCCCACCGTGCAGAGTCGCCGCGATGCCGCGACACCGCGTCGAGTGCAGTGTGGCTGTGCGACACCCTGTTGGATTACTTTGGATGTGAGAGAGAGAGAGAGAGAGAGAGAGAGAGAGAGAGAGAGAGAGAGAGAGAGAGAGAGAGAGAGAGAGAGAGATGTGTGTGCGGGTGTGCGGACGCGAAACCGCGATTGAGAAGAGATGCACTGAGAATCCAAACGCTGTGAGTATAGCGTCAATTGGTGCAATGCAAAAGCATTGCACATGAAGTGCAATGAATGCCTCCCCATTCCCATGCATTAGCATAGGGCCTTTTCGGGAATGTGGCTATCGCATTGCACGTATGGTGCGATACCCCAGCTGCATTGCACCATACGTGCTATACTCATAGCGTTTGGAATCTCAGTGTGGACATCAATGAGGCCTCACCGCAGCGGCACCTGTCCCCACGGCTAAGGGGCTCTACCTTGCACAGTGACAAGCGGGCATTGGTGCTGCATGTGTACTACGCGCGGCTACGACAGAAGAATCCGCAGTGGAGTATAAAGGAGGCAGTGCGCGAGGCCAGTGACATGACGGGCGTTTCTGCTCGTACCATTTTCCGAATCAAGAAAGAAAGTGCAGCAGGTAGGGTGCCAATCATAATTGTGGCTCTAAAAGTCACCAAGACTTGTGCGTACATTGGTAAATGTTTCAGGAAATCCATTGCTTACCCCTGGCAAGAAAAGGGACAGTGAGAACAGAAATACAAGGAAAAAACTGTTCGGGGTCTGGCTGCACACGGCGGTGCGCAACATTGTGCATAACATGTATCGGGAGAACATTCCTCCACGGCCCAGCGGGTCACCGCAAGGGTCAATCAAGACCCCGAACTGCCAAATTTCACCCGAAGGACGATGTGCAGGCGACTGCGGGACATGGGATTTGTGTACATGAAGCGCCACCGCAACGGCATCCTGCTGGAGAAGGACGACCTCATTGTGTGGCGGCGGAATTATCTGAAGACAATCAAGCGCTATCGCAGGGAAGGCCGAGACATTTTCTTTCTGGATGAAAGTTACGTCAACCAAAGGCATACAACAACCAGCACCTGGTACGAAAATGGCGTAAAACAGGGTCGCCGGAAGTACTTTCTGGTTTTGGGGGGGGGGGGATTTTTATGAAAAAAATTATGGGTTGCCTACCATAAAGGGGCAACATCCAATACGGTTTAGGCTTCTTTCATGATGTTCAAAATCCAGCGAGCTAAGCGAGCTAAAAGCGAAAGTTCACACAATTCTTGACTTAAACATAACTTTTGCCATTTTCAGCGCATAATTACATGCTTTATTATCTGGCGAAGTGAGCTAAACGGTAGAATTATAGAGGAGTTTTCTCCCTATTTCGAGCTTAAAATGGCACTTTTGTGTCTGAAAGGAGGGGGTTTGTGCCTAAAAGTGTGTGTGTGTTTGTGGGGGGGGGGGGGCGACCCCACTTCCGGCGCCCTTGGCGTAAAAAGCGCACGTGATGCGTTTTTGCAGGGCGTGACGACTGGGCCAAAGACACCAACAGGTGAGCCGACCTTTACTGTTTCGCTCCCGGTTGCAAGTCAAGTGAGAATTTTTTTTTTCGTATTTTATTTTTCTTTTTTAGGAAAAGGTGGCAGGTTTGTGTTAGTGCACGCTGCTGGCGAAAATGGATTTGTGGATGGGGCAAGGCTGGTGTTTGAAGCCAAGAAGTCAAAGAACATTGAGGGCGGTACGCATCACGACGAGATGTGTTTTGACCGCTTTCGACCATGGCTTCAGAACCTTTTGACTCAGTTGCCCCCAAATTCTGTGATAGTGATGGACAATGCTTCGTATCATTCAAACCTGAAGGTAATGGCTGCTCGGCGCCCCGTCCCCCCAAAGGACCACGAATGTTTGCACCTGACCTCTGAACTCTTGTGTGCTTTTAGCACCCACCCCATGCCACCCCGCCGATCCCCAACAAGAATACAAGGCTGCTTGCTCACAAAGTGCCCTGCAACATGCCTCTCACTCACGCAGAACTGAACGAACTCATGGGCGCTGACGCGAACAAAGAGGTAACCCCCCCCCCTCTCTGTGGATTGTTCTCTTTTTTCGTGTTATCGCTTACGTACGTCATTTCACGTTGCAGGTACATCATTGACGACATGGCCACGAGAAGGCGACTCGTTTTACAGCAGCCTGGCGTCTCTGCCACAGTCATTTACAACATCACCTGAAGCAGACAAGTTGAAGCAGCTAAACTTTGCCATGGAAACGCGAACGGCCATCTGCAAGAGGCTGGGCACACAGTTCTCTGCCTGCCCCCTTATCACTGTGAATTGAATCCCAGAGAGAATGTGGGCGAAGGTGAAATGGTTCGTGGCCACGAACAACACTACGAACAAAACGGTGGATGTAGAGGCTGCAATCCACCAAGGCTTC